TAAGGTGTGGGGTTAGCTGGTGCTTGCTCTAAACCCTAGACTCCTAAACCCCTAAACCCCTAAAGCCTGAAACCCTAAAGCCTCAACCCGAATCTCACCGCTCCCGAGCCTAAGAGCTTTTTAGGAGCCTCGTGGGACCAAGCAAAAGTCGCCTGTTTCCAGTTTTTTGCCATCACAAACAAAGAAATGGGGGGTTTCCCCTACTGTTGGGTCCTTGCAAGAAGCATTATCGTGCCTGGGAGCTAGGAGACACGCAAGTTTTGAAAGCTGCGAACTGCTGGTTGTGGGGTAGGCTCTTCGACAGATTGTTGCGCACTTTCTCCAAAGTGCTTTCGCATCACACGCCCTCAACCTCAAACCTACAATATCCTAGCGACAAGCAGGACACCCCCCCAATCCAATAACACTCCACACAAACCCTGAACCCTAAACTGGCCCCAAACCCTAAACCCCAAAGCAAGGTACCGGAAAAGCATCGACATTAGCATCATACCCACGCCCGATGGCTGGAACCCGCTGACCGAGTTCCAGGTCGGAAGGGTCATTACGATTTCATACCTTGGGGTTTAGGGTTCAGGGTTTGGGGTTTAGGGTTTAGGGTTAATGGCTTAGGTATGTTTCTGGGGTATTCCTGAAAGTACTTTTGAATTCCTACCATAGTCCCGATACGCATGCAAAATACATATATATATATGTATATTCCTCAAAAAGCTATGGAAGTGAATCTCTTTATGAGGCTTCTAAATGCATCCCAGGCTTGAAGTTTTTGAGGGGTGGTTACGGGAGGATGCGGCCATTCTTGCATACCTAAGTGGAGGGAACCCGGGACTTGGAAGCCACAACAAGAATGCCCCGTCCTGCTCTTTTCCATTTCTGAAAATCAGGTTCCCACTGCAGGCTTGGAATTGCAAAATCTTTGGCATACAGCAGCATCAAGAATGTAGCGGGACGGCACTTTTCAGACACTCCGTTTCATGAATTTTGCAGTCTCTGGCAGGTCAAGTTGTTCGATCCAGAGGACTGCAATCTTGGCCAGGAGCTTATAGCAGTATAGCAGAAAACGATGTTCAAAATGCCTGCTGCTCCGCCCCCATGTTCCCCAACAACCTTCTAAGTCAGCATATATCTTATACATGCTGCCCCAAACATCCCTACATAAGATTCAACTAACTCCTAAGCACTGCATGAGGCAATTACCTACACACCTGCCGGGTCAAGCTCATTGATGACGACACCTTCCCCTCCAGCAAGTATTTTGAGGAACTCAGGCCAGAAGCTCAGCGCCAGGCCTATGCTTTTACAATTATTCTTCATATTATTGTGAGCGTTGCTTACTATTATCGTTCTTATTTATACAGTTGTTCTTCTTGCTATAGAAGATGAGCTTACCTGCCTCAACCATCAAAATCCTGCATGACCTCAACCACTGAAAATTCTAGCAAGACCGTACACTGTGGCTCATGCAGATTTCGCTTGTACTGATCAATTCTACTCTTCCTCTTTGGTTGCTTTCAAGCTTTCTAATTCTTGGAATTGCTATGGTGGTGGGGATTGCCTGTCTTTGCTTCTTGCTATGAGTATGAAGACTGATACATCAGCAGTATCATCCTACATACTGCAATATGGCAACAGCGTTGTTGAAGAGCATGGGCTGCTTCCTGGAGATAGGGGTGGGGGCTGATTTTCTCTGTGCAGCTCTGATTGTTGTGTCAATGTGTTCGCCGCAGGTCACTCCTAAAAGCTTGATCCTTCAGGCTTAGGGTTTTGGGGTTAAAGGTCTAAGGGTTTTAGGGTTTTAGGCATTCATGTTCTCTCCTCGATTCTTAAATAGACTCCTCCGCCTCATGCTCGAGATTCTTCCCCCTGCAGCGCCAAAATCTCGGCGTTCAGCCTGCCATCTCACCGTGAAATCCTGGTATGCGTATTATATACTTGGCCCCTAAACCCTTTGTAAACCCTTAAACCCTGAACCACTAAACCTTATACTTGAAGGCGCTAGCATCCTGGCCACCTTCGCTCAGCCCACGAAACCTGGCCCTTCACCCCAGACTCTACTTGATCATCAAGAATTAGGGTTTAGGGTTTTGAACTTGAAGTCCCAAAGTCTCCAGCCTTCTCTGGGCCCAGCGGAATTGTGTGAGCTGTAGTCTGAATTCCTGAACTGGGATTATATAGGGGAGCACTATGGGGATTTGCTAAGAAAAATACTAGGAGTTTAGACTATGGCTCAAGTGGGTTTAGGGTTAGGGTATGAGGCTGTCGGGTTTAGAGCCGAAGGCGCCCTGGGGGCATCGATGAGATTAGCCGCTTGGAGGAATTACTCGATCTGGGGGGGTTCAAGAGAGGGCCTGACTTTAAGAAGCATCTTGTCTCATATTTTTTCATCGACTCTACTTACCTCAGACTTACTTGACAAGCTGTTGCTTGTTTGTGCTCCTGTTTTCGTTTGCTAGTCCCCCCTAGGCCTTCAGCCCTGAACCCTATCAAAAAGCCTAGATCCCCAAAACCCTGAAACATTATCAGAAAACTCCAAAGCACTAAGCTCATCGGGCCGCAAAGATCCCAAACCCTACAGCCCGGAAACCTCAAACACAGAGAGTAAGGCTCCGTCGGCCTCTTCCGAGAGTATTGGAAGCTCTGCTTTACATTTCGTGGGATCGGCAGCCGGACAGCAGTGGCTGGGGCAGATGAACAAGAAAGCGTTGGGCGTTCAGCGTCTAGGTGTTTGGGCTTACTCACCCCAATCGTTCCTATAAATGTTCATAGATTACTTCAAGAATGGTCGAACCTTGAATTCTACATGAGCTATAGTCTTAACTCCTTGACGGGGTTATACAGGGTTTCATATCTCGAGGTCATGAATACTAGGAGTCTTGATTACAGCCTACATCATCTGAAATCGGTCAGGTGAATTTGATCTTTGATCAACTGAAGCCCTCTGGCTGCAACTAGTGGATTTTGGGTGCAGACCTTAGCATAGAGATGGTTTGAGGTTGCGTGGTGTTATTCGCTTGGTTTCCATTAATGGGATGCCTTCTGAATGCCCCAAATATAGATCCACTACACCCATGCGGCCTCATATGTCATATCAGCTTAAGTCGGGGAATGTTGGAGCTTTGGATGACGGGGGGGTCGTAGGGAACCCATGGTTCCCTGGCTTTTGCAACACCTTTGCGAACAGAGCTGTGCTGGCAGCCGTGCACAGATCCTTAACACCTGCCCTTGCTGCCGCTAGTGGTAGTGTTGTTGCTGCTGCCGTCACAACTGGTGCAACTTCATGGGCAGCTAGATAATTGTGCACTGATTCTGTGTCCTCCTCGACAACAGCTACTACCACCGCGGTCACCACCGCCACTACGACTTCTTCACGGCAAGACCGTCTCAACGAGAATTGTAGGCATGCAACACTGTCAACCTCAAGCAAAAAGCCCAATGGCAGGAATGCGTTCCGCTACTACATGCTGTACCTCAACATGTACATGGTTGATGTCCTTTTCAATCTACAAGATGAAGAAGCGAAGCATGAGCTGATCCTGCCTAGTCGAGTCGATACTGCATACCTCGTTGCTGTGGCATATTTGCTTCCTACACTGGTGCTGCACGTCTGGGACATCATGAGAGCTGTCATGGACGTCGAGGGGCGTTTGCAGGTGCTTCTGAAGAGCTACCTGTTTCGCAGATACTTGAACTACAGTCCCTTGGCAGCAAACTCCACTTGCGCACTGGGCACGCCAGGATTTCAAGTTGGTACTGTATTGCACGTCCTGAGGCGAGGAATCTCGTCAATCCGTAGCTCCACCCGACATGCTGGTTGCGTTGGGTGCGGGCGCGGAGGCCGCAGCCAAAGGTTACGCCCATGTCATGCCTCTCTGTCAGCAGGTGGGACAGCTCCTGGACAGCAGATGAAGCAAGAAGTTCTCTTCTTCCTCGGGAATATTCTGCCCTCGAACACAGCTGTTGCACGTCGAACAGCTCCAATGTAATTCAAACAGTTCCCTCAGCCTTGGACACTTCATCTTAACTTAGACTTCAGAAAGTGGTAGACTGATAGACAACTGATCTGGACTCCTAAGCCCTACGCCTTACATCAGCCTGCACGCTCTGTTTGATGCTTGTTGCGGAACAGGCTTGGCGTCTTCATTTACTTCACGGTCTCCGAGAACCCGGGAGCCACCTACTTGTTGCTTGCATATCATATCCCGTAGGAATGAAGGCATGCGGGAATACGAAGCTCAGTATGGACACATGGTGTTCTGTCTACTACTGCTGATACACTTGCTTTCCTCATCCCTACTGCTATCATTGCTCCCTCTCTCATTACTTTGACACCTGCCAGCACAACAACTGCCGTCTGCTCCGCCGCTGCCACAACTGCCGCCACGCCCGCCTCCACCACCAATGCAAATGATTGCAATGATCACCATCCCTTGACTTCTGGATACTCAACAGCCAGGTTAATGGCGATGCCGTCCGTGATGGCTGTTTTCCTGCTGCGAGCCGGCAGCAATTGGCTCCATTTTTCCTTTGCTTGCGTCATTTCAGACATGCGGGAGGGTGAGCGCTCATGTCATGCCCACAGAGTACTAGGAGTGGATAAGTTAGGAGAGGGGGAGGGAGTAAAGCCGTTTTTGGTATAGTGGACCCTGCAGTTCAAAAAACCGTGACGGATGTCCTGTATCCCCCATCTTACTTCAGGAGCGGAATCATACGGGTACTTTTCAGAAGCACGGTCCCCCAAGATATTCCCCAATCCCTGCGCCTGCAGAGTCCCCAGTATAACCCCAAAGCTAGATGGAATGGTTTGAGAAACCCATTATGATTCGTCCATTCTGAGCTGAGGTGGAAGCTCTGCATGAGGGAAGATCCCGCGGAGCCCGAGGCCACCTGCCTTGCAAAATCCCATGCGAGCTTTCTCAAGATTGTAGATCCTTGTAAAGGGGAAGAGCAATTCTCAACGTCCAAAGAACCCAAGGTCTGTAACCATTTCCCTTTAGACCCGAAACCCGGAGCCCTGATCATGAAGCCCCGCACCCTGAACCCTGTATATCCTCCAAGTTCTAAATCTGTAAACCCTCAACCCTAGAACATCCATCCCGCAGTTTTATCCCTCTCAGATCAAAGAGGCAACCCTTTTCTCAAAAAAGTTCCCAGGTCAGCGCTCATAGCTTAGCCGCCGAAGTCTGCCAAAGGTGAGGACTTTTGAAAGAAACCAACCAGGTTTTTGTTTTTGGGGAGGTAGGGGATGGTAGGGGTGTAGGGAGGTTAGGGCTTGGAAATTTGGTTGGGAATCTAGTTTTTATCGGTTTTGGTGTAGTCTAAGTTCAGCCTCCGCAAACAAGCAGACCTTTACAGGTGTAATGGTGACTGAGGGCTTACTTAGCTTCTTACAGGGCTTCGTACAGACTGTTGTTGTAGGTGTACTATAATGAGTGTTCTGCCAGGTACCGTCTGGTTGCGGACTACAGCAAGCGGTCGAAGGCCGAAAGCTGCCCAACAATTGTGGTTTTCCTTGGAGAATACTAGGGAAAATGTCAGGAGCGTGAGAGTTGGCAATGATTTTGTTTGGGATTCTTTGGGAGTATTCCAGAAGGAAGGGTGACACATATGAATATAGTTAAGCCAGACTTGGTTGAAAGGAGAGACATCCTGGTTGAAGCACGCAGGTCAATGATGCTTTCGACGAGTTGACAGAAACTGAGCGTGCCGACACGGTCCCCCTGAACGTAGCCTCCGTGAACAACGACTCTGGGTTGCACCTCCTATTGGTGTTTCTTCATGCTCATGTAGGGGTGTAGGACGACCTCTCCAGTTACCTGCAGCTTAGTAGGTAAAACCCATCAAGCTGCAGGAGACAGTGTAGGGTTTCAGGGGTTTAGGGTTCAGCATTTTGGGTCTAGGATTTGAGCTTTGCCCGCGCCTACAGTGCAGTTTGAGCGTAGCCATAGTGAAGCCTTTTCTGCCCCTCGCCTGCTCTTGGGGGTTGTGAACCCATCTAGCTCCCAAAGGGACGGTGATGACTGTCTGTACTCTGCAGTCTTTATCTTGTCTCTCTTTCCGCGCTCTCTTCCTCTCTCACTCTCTCATGTTCTGATCTTAAGGGGACTGTTTGAATGGAGACATGTATGATCCTAGCACTCCAAAGCTTGAACCTAATTGCTCAATCCCTAAAATCCCGCAAGCCTAAACCGTCTAAGTCTACCCCCAAGCCTCAAGCCTTCTCAACCCTAAAGCTCAAAACCTGGGTGTGGGGTAAAGGGTTTAGGGCCTAGACCATTTTACCCCTAGAGCCACAACCGTTTGTATACTATTCCACTACCTGCATACGTCTTGGTAAGAACCCAGTTATTCGAGGCATTGCGCAGCAATGCTATAATCCCTTTGTTTCCTAAACTTTTCTCCAACCTATAGTTTGAACAACCTTTCCTTACTACTCTTATAGTTTTTCATTTTTTTTCGAACAGCTGAGGACTACTTCCCCGCCTGGCTGGGACCTTTGTTCGTGTCTGCCTACATCGTCATCGACGCGGGAAAGGTGGGCAGTCCCTTTTTTCACATGGGGATTTGAGGGGTTCGGGTTTCAGAATTCTAGGGGACGTTTAGTGCTTCACCTGTTAGTGGCCTTGGTGGGTGGAAGGATGTTGAGTTCAAGTGTCGTACGGATTTAGTGTTCGTGCGTTATGTACTCCTTAAGCAGGGGCCCCTGCCATTTCCACAGTTTTTTGCTGTAAGCCCTAGACCCTACATCTTAACATCTTGTTTGGAAGCTCCCCCAGGTCTTTGAAGGTGAGCTTTCCTTGGGAACCTTCCTGGCGACGGTGGCAGTGACTTTCTGCTGGTTAGTTGGGTAGAGATAAGTCGTAGCAAGGCCCAGCGAAAATTCTATGAAAGAAGGCCTACCTGGATCCCAAAAGTATGTAGAATAAAGGCCTTTTTGTCTATATATTTGAGGTTTTTGGGCTATTGGAGCTAAAGGACCCTATTATTCCCTTCTTGAGGGATCGTATGGCTACAAGCCCCTCTATCAGAACCCAGGAATCCCACATCCCCAGCCCTGAGCCCCAAAAGGGCTCCTGTGGGAAACCCCTGAGCAACACCAGGTGATGCGCGACGTCAGTAGTGAGTTTGGGAGGCTCTACCACCTGATCCTGGAGCTTGCTGATCTCATGATCTCTATCAGACAGCTGACCTTGTACATCAACAAGAGGACGCTAAAGCCGTATATTACTGGATATCCAGAAGCCCCAACATCTCACTTACATCCTATGCCCTTATGACTCGTAAATCCCAAAGACTCAAGCGCCCGAAGCCTCAACCCTAAACTAAGCAACAGGACAGATTTGCGGCCCCGAAAAGCGGTAAATCGTGAGCGCCGGGCTCTGACGAAACTCGCATGGGTTCAGGCTTGATGAGTATATCAGGTATGTCCTTGGGCGTGGTTTTGTCGTACAGAGTGCAGGTCCGGGGCGTGGGGTTTTAGGGTGATGCTCCTTGAAGATGCTTGAAAAGCACTACCTGCAGAGCTTGAAGACAATGATGCGTTCCTTCTTGATGCTCTTTTAGTGAGGACTTGCGCCACTTGCGAACACAACTCAGAAAGCGCTCTTTCACACCTCAAACCGTAAAATCCGGAACCCCAGATCCTGAAGCCCTGAACCCCAAGCACGCTCAGGAAGGAAGCGCGCAACGAGGTCATGCGCGATGCCACCCTGAAGCATCCGGACGGTGAGTCCACAGCTTTCAAGACGGACCTCATCCCCATCAAGCTGCTTCACACGATTTAAAGGGGACAGTCATCTAGGATCCCCTTACAATGTTGGAATGTCCCCGTGAGGCCTCTATATATATATATAGATAGTATTACTTATGATATCTCGTGACCCTAAGCCCATAGTTACCACAAGCAGACTTAATGAACATGTGCAGGTTGGTGGACGTGTCCTATGGGTGGGATCCCCAGAAGCCGATCTTCAAGGATGTGAATCTGGTTTGCCATTTTTATCCCGTTTTAGGGTTTAGGGCTTCAAGGGATTAGGGTTAATAAATGCGTTTAGGGGTTCAGGGTTTAGGTTCAGGGTGTAGGGGTTTAGGGTTTAGGGGTTAGGGTGGTGCTTTGCAGGTAATGGGGGAACTGAACTGGATCCGTAGAGTATTCCCCTACAACAATCCCCACTAGAATTCATGCCCCGAGTCCCTACTAAGCACCAGGCAGTTTTGGCATTGCTGTTACAGGTTCAGCTGCTTGTATGGAGGCTTACACAACAAAGAATCTGAACTCCGACGCCCTCACGCCATACTACCATACGACCTCAACCAAGCCCCAAGCCCTAATCTTCTTGAACCAGAAGCCTAAATACTTAGACCCGATATGCCTACATGTCTTCGAACTTCCTACCCCTGAAGCGTAAATCCTAGAGTCCTAGAACCTGAGCCCCAAACTAGCACGCTAGCCTCAGGAATATCTCCGTGCCACAGGGTAAGCTGGTGGCTGTGATGGGAGCGCATGGGACAGGCAAAGCGAGCTGCGTCGGGATAGAAAGCGCTGTACCTTCTTGTGGGTTGGGGATTTAGGGGCTTCAGGCTTCAGGATAAATGGGTTGTGACATGCATGGGGCTCGGGGGGCAATGTTCAGAAAAGCAGGCACTTTGCAGGTTCGATCCGCTAAACGAAGCCAAGGACATTGCTGAAGCTCATGGGTGGGACAATCTTCCCAAACAAAGGGACGGTGTTCGTCCCAGCCCATCTCAGAATGCTGCATGTGACGCAAGAAGCGGTGATTCTCAACGTCTCACCCTGGCAGAATCTGACCTTTGGGGCTTCCAATCCTGACGAAGTGGACCCAATGAGGGTCCGCCACATCTGTCAGCGGCTTCGGATGAAAGCAGTGCTTGAGATGCTCCTGGGTTGTTGTTGAGTCCGGTCCTGTTTGTTTGGAACACCCGAAGCCCAAAAACAAAAAAAGATGCGTTGAAGCGCAAGAGATGAGCTTTTTTAGCATCTCAACTACGATCCAGGATAGAGGACGATTTGCGGAGGGTCGAGGATCCAGATGCAGAGAAGCAAAAGAACCTCGTGTTCATAAACAGCAGCTCAGACTTCGTACAGCATGGGGTTCAGGATTTGGGGTTCGGATTTCTTTATAGGATTTAGAGTTTAGGGCTTCAGCTTAGCTTAGGTTCTCGCACTTCATCCTCAGAGGTCTTCCAGAGGTTTCTAGATGCGACTGCATCGCTGCGCTTGACTAAGGCAGCTGGCAAGACTCCCTCACATACTCCGAGAAGGTGGGCTTTTTGGAGGAACGACTCAAATATGTCCCTTCAACAGGCGTCCTGATCATCTCCCACACTTTCTATACATGAAGCTAAACTCTTGAAAGCTTAGAGACCTTGAGCCCTTGACAACTGCTACAATGGGGAGGGAGCCTCATTTCCACCCGAGGTAAAGATTTGTCTGGCGAGAGCGCTGCTGATGAATCCAAACCTCATGGTCTTGCAGAGACCACTGCACCTTCTCCAAGAAGGTTTTCAAGGGTTTAGGGTAAGGGTGTAGGTTCAGACTTCAGGATATCCTTTTGCAGGTCAGTACGCAGGAGTGATGGGAGTGGATCGGCCTGTAAGGACCATAGGGTGATGCTGCGGGGATCAAGGGGGCTTTTCCACAGTGGGTTAGCAAGGATCTTCCTTGCCCTGCGGCAAACATGCGTGAGCAGCACGATGGCGTGGTCGGAGAGCTGCTAAAAAGTTTAGACAGCTCCGCTTTCATTTGAGTTCCTGTCAAGAAAGCCCGTGGAACTCATTTCAAGGGCGGTTGCGTTTCCGATCAAGAAGCGCTAGGGCTCAGATGTTTAAATGCCAGCATGCACTTGCCGAAGAGATTGCAAGACAATATGGAAGGAATGAAAAAGAACAAAACGGTTGCAAACGGAATCAGACGTCTGTGATTGGGTATTTTGCACATACACATTTGAGAAGTATGAACGTGTTCTTTGCAAACAGACCTATTCGACTGACAGCCCATCCGATTGCCTGACGAGCTTCTCATGTATGGCTTCAATAAGAGGGTCCTGTATTTATTTGAGTCGGAATACGATGGCCGCCCCAATGTAGAGTCAGATTATATCCCTGTTTTGAGCCTGATATTTTGAAAGAAGAATGTAGTCGTATTTGGTTCAACACCAAACCAACATTCATAATATGTATCTTACGAAAGTAATGGCCCTGCGACCCTGTTCTGGGCAATTCGCCCGCAGAAGCCTGATCCGAATTTCACGTTGGAGATCTGTCATTGTCTTGCATTTCGCCGAGGCACCACTATGATGATGCAACTGGCGATCTCGTCCTGAACTTGCTGAAGGATGGCTAGACTCGATTAGCTGTACCTACTCTATACCCTATATGGTAGTTCCCCAAACAGAGGGGGGAACCCAATGTAGGACGCCAAATATTAAAATCCTTGTCGTGGGGACTCCCCCAAAACTACCCTGATTTTGGGTAATTCTTATATGTACCCGTAAGGGTCCCTAGAGACGACCGAAAGAATTGCCCATCCAATGTTTGCAGGATCCCGTCTTGCGCATTTGCGGGGATATGGAGGTTCTAAATAGGGGACAGCAATATAAACTCCAAAAGACTGGAATCCTTATTGTAGGAACCCCCCTGTACAAGGTACATTTACGTTTTTGGAAGCCCCCCCTAACCCTACACTCTAAACTCTCGGCCCTAAACTCTAAACCCCAAACCCTCTGTACGGTTGGGATTTGGACCTACGTTTCTATGGAAGCTTGGTGTTAGTGCGCAAACCCTCCTTCCCTAAACCCCAAAACCCTAAACCCCTTCGAGCCTCGGGTTCCTAAAACTGCATTTTAGGGTTTAAGGGGTTATAGGATTTAGGATTTTAGTGTTTTTTTGGGGTTTTGGGGTTCCAGTGGTTTTAGGGTTTAGGGCCTGAACCATGCATTGGAAAGACGCCCTGAACCCTGCCACCTGGAACCACAAAAGTGTTATCCGAAAAGTCAATCCCCCCTTTAGCAATAGCTCTCTAACATGGAATTAGGAAGGACTTCATATACCTACAGTAGTCCGTTGTGGTACCCACTACTGGGTGGGGGATTGACCCAAGCCATCCGAAAGGAGCATGTGGCAAATCGCGGACTCGAACTCCCTGAAGACAGCATCCTACAGCGTCGTCCTCGCTCCTGCTCCTTGGATTTGGTGTAGGTTGTTTCATGAACCTAGGTCAAAGGTGTACCCCACTAATTAGGATTCGGTCGCGTTCCTAGGGACTACCTGGATTCTCGATTCGAGCCGTTCTTGCAAAAGATTCAGTGCCCTGAACCCTAAGCCCTGAGCCCTACACCCTAAACTGCCAGGCTTTCTCACGGTGGAGTCGGCGAAGGATGCACAAGCTGCAGATGCCGTTTGGTACATTGAGCAGTCATCGATCCGCGCACTGAAGCCGGAAGAGGTAGGGCCTCCTCAAAGCCTTGGGTCTCCGGTTAGGGTTTAGGGTCTTTCCCCCTAACCCCCTCCATAAGGAGTAAATCCCGTCCCCCTGGTAAGAATCCCTCGCCCTTGTAATAGATCCTCCCCTTGACATTTAAAATTGTACTGCGTTGGGGTCTTGGCGGGGGGTAAGCAGTAGGAGGGGATTGTGCTGGGGGACCTCAATGTTGTAAAGTGTCCAGGTGACAGACGAGTTCTTCACTCGAAGGATCAGCCGCCATGGCCGCAATGCCGTGGTTGAACACAACGAGAACAACAACAACATTTCCAATGAAACCTGCTGATGTCAGCAGAGTTTTGTAAGTTCGCTCCCCCTGGTGATTCTGCAGAAGAACTGCGGTCGTTGGAGGCAGCCTACCAATGTTGTTCTCCTGAGGGTTTGCGAGCTATACAGGAAGTGTGCAATAGGGAGACCCCAATATAAACCTTAAAATGCTCTTCACTTTAATCCTCATCATAGGCACCCCCCAAAAAGCACCCATAACTCTCGGAACCTCCCCCATGTATAATCCCTGAGCTCGCCATTATTTTGCTGCGAGAACCTCACTTCAGTGGCTGAACCTTCAGTTCCAACTCTGGTCTGAAGTTTCATGCCAGCATTGCAGACAGATGCTGGGGAACCCAGGGATCTGCGTCAGGAACAGCTGCTCGTCCTCTAGGGAGTCCAATGCCCCACGGTATTATGGATGAAGGTGCGTTATTTCTTCAAGAAGGGGTGGGGGACTCTCTAGGTCATTGAAGCTCGTCCCCTAGGGGAGTTTTAAACATGGGGCAAAGAGAGCTTTTTCACAGACGAGTGGCGATCAACAGCTGAATCTGAGGTGGAAGAAGCAGAGCACAACAGCGGCAGTGTTCCAAGTCAGACTTACTGGTGGCTAGTAGGGAAATGGAATATAACCCCTATATGACTTTCCATTATTCCCTACTGACCCCGGTGAGGTTAGACATGACTGCAACCTTCAGCAGCTCGAAAATCTCTCCGCAGCAGTCCTGCGGTTGCTCAACTTTGGATCCTAATCCCTTAGACCAGGTTGTAAGCCATAATCTGTGATCCCTCAATTCATCAACTTTGGGCTCGAGAGTGGCGACATCTCCTGGGAGTTTTGGAGGAGCAGGACAGGGCCAGTGCTGCACTTTTAGGGTTTAGGGTTTAAGGTTCAGGTGGTTTAGAAGTTGTATAGGGTTTGGGTGTTATTTTTGGCTTGTGGGTTTAGGGTTTAGGCTTTAGGGTTTTGGGTGTCAAAAATAGGTCCCCTAGAGCAGGAGTTACCTAGCGAACAAGTTCCTGATGACTTCAACAAAGTTCGGATTATTCCCCCATGGGGCTGGAGAGCACTTCTCTTGTGAGAAGGCAGCAAACCGTCCAAAAGCAGGCCGAGCCTGAAGCAACAGCTCCTGCAAAGAAACAAGAGAAGGTCAGTAGGGAATAAGGGAATATAATCCCGCACAATCCTTATAACCCCATAACCCCTGTGTAATGTAGTAGCTTCCATTGTCTTTTTCCATCATCCCTACTCAAAATAATCCCTTAGTGAGAAGCTGCTTACAGCGTAGGACCGACAGCGTTTGGCGAGATCCAGCTTCGGCGTCCGGCTCCCTGAGGGGCGGCTTTGGGGTTTAGGGTTTCGTGTCATGAAGTGTGCAGAGGGATGGGGGTGGGGGGGGGATATATAGGGGTTATATAGGGGATAGTGGAAAACAACATGGAAACTACTGTAGTATAAGAGGGTAGGTATTGCGGTATATAGTAGGGGCCTTTGCAGGCATTTGGCCTCGTAGGCTCACATAGTTCTTGTTGAACGTTAGGCAGCTGTCACATGAGCCATCTTCAGGGTGTCTACTAAGGGGGTTATGAAGGAGAATAGGAGGAGTTTAGACTTATAGCTCACATGACACATGCAAGCTGCAGACTGCTCAATGTCAGGAAGACTTGGTCTCACAGCAGCCCTGGAACAATGAATGGCTTTGCTAACTCTCGGCTCCAGCTTGTCCGGGGAAAGCGCGTCCAGCATGTCGTGGATTCTCGTGTGCCTTTTCTTCGTGGGGGTCAGGGCAGTTTGGCTCTGCCCTATTGATGCCAAAAAGCCATATGAGCTAAAGGCCTTTATATCCCCTGTAATCGACCCGAGAATTGGACGCTTTATCATCCACTTCAAAACCACTATAAAGCTTCGCCTTGAGGCCCCTCGGGCCCATCAGCAGCACTATTGCGGCCCATTACTCTTAGCTTTCAGAACACTTCACTTTTGGGCTATGTATAATCTTACCATAATTCACAAGACTAGCCTAGAAAGCCTACCATAGTTTACGCGATTAGCATGTTTTGCGTCGGGGACGTGAGAGGGAAGTAAACCTGCTTGGGACGTCCGGGATTGTCTGGGCTCGAGTGGCTTATGGTGTATGGGGTTTAGGGGCTGGGGTCTGAGGGTTAACCCTAAGTATACATGAAGGTATGTGGCCAATTCCTCTATAGCTGCTTCAGGCAAGTATCTCCTGCATGCTACATGGGGATTGTTCTAAATTACTGTCAATACGGGGTCCTATATTTAGGTTCCTATCATAATACGGGGCCCTATATAAATTTCACCCATTTTGGGAACAGTAATTTAGGGAAACTCCCACATGGACCCTTTAGCGTCTATGAAGCAAGCAATGAACAACCACATCCCTTTCCAAAATGCTTTTCTGATTCGGCGATTGTGTCTGACAGTGCCCGGCATCGTCAGCATTCCTAAGGCAGAAGAATGTGATTCGGCTGGGGATGCCACGCAGCTGCTTCAGCACGTGGGCCGTTCCAAAGGTCAGTTGGACCAGGATGAAAGCGCATCCAAGTCCATCGCTACGACTACCACCACGACGCGGCACCCAACTGTTTGCGAGGAGCTTGCAGAAGAGAACAACATTCCTTGGCTACTCAATGGCTTACTGGCTGCGTAGGTGTGCTGCATGTTTTTGTTGATGCTTCTGCGACAAGACTGAAACTTGTTGTGTTACAGGGAAATCAACCAACGAGGCTTTGCATTCCGGCTACGGGCGCTTCACTGAGACAGATGTACACACCATGGCAAGCGGAGAAGGCAAAGGCCAAGGCCCTTAAGGGTTTGCATGTACTTAGGTCCTAGAGTAGCTATATAGTAATCCCTTTGGGCCCAAGTATCTACTACGTGGTAGGTTACGGGCCCTCAAATGAGTTTATGAGAAGGCTCCTACATAAAACAACAAGGGAACTTTACAAATACCTTCATATACTCTAAACCAGTCCATAGGGTAAAAAGCAGCTGATACCCCTAAACCCTTAAACCCTAGCACCTAACAGGCCCTAACCCCTAACCCTAACTTTCATGGACCCTTTGGGAGGCATCGTGGAAAGCCGATGTCGCCGAGGCCAAGGCTTGGTGGTGGTGTGAGAAGCCGCTGGGCCACAAGGCCTTTCCTGTAGTCTCTATAGGAATTTTTCTGTTATAGTATAACCATACGGCATTGATGAAAAAGATATTTGTATCATGGGTCTAAGGAGATTACAGTTTCTCAAAGGATTTGCGCGGGGAATATTCTAAGATAAGGTGTACGCCTTTTGGGGTCCCCAGAAGAAGGATTATAATGTTTTGGGGTCTCTTTTGGGGCTCCAGTTCCCCTATTCAGGTACATTCCCATGCGAGCCATCTTTCACGCCCCTTAAGGGGGGGGGGGGTTGTGGAGGTTCTCAACCCCCCTAACATTCGGAGACCCTATCCAATAATAGATACTTGGGGGCCAAAGAGATTACTATTAAGCTACTTTAGGGTCCCAGTAGATACACTATACCTACAGGGCCCTGAGGGTTTTGGGTTGAACCTTATGTTGCAGGTGTGATTGGCATTTATACTCTCTTGGGCCCGGATCATTACCAGTGTTGTGGTCCTAGACTCCGGGTAAAATGATCACAGCATGGCGCCTTAGGCATGGCGCCACAGACCCCAACCCTGTGGATGCCGCTTGCTCACTCACTTACTTTTAGTGAACATGCACGTAGTACGTTTGGACAAACTTGACTGGGAGTATGGGAGGAGGTACTAGTCTGGACGGGTAGGCAGAGAGGAAGGGCTCTTTCCCAGGACTGCCCCATTCTCCCGAGCTCAAAAGTTGGTTGTTGCCTGTGAGCCAGCTATGTCATGGAAAATTTGGTCTCTGAGTTTGACACTGTTAAGGGGGCGATGGCGCTTGTCTTCCTACCTTTTTGATTCAGGTTCGTTCTGGGCACCACAATTAGAACCATAGGATCCTTCATAGTAGGTGCTTCGGTCCTAATAGATGGTTGTTGTGGGTCTATAGGTTACATCTGGGTTTCAAGTGTTGCTACGACGAACGCAACTCAGGCACTGGTGGTGCCACAACAGCAAGGAGCACCACCATGGGTACCATTACGGGCACCACTACGGGCCCCCGCCCAGTGACTGCCCTATTAAATCAGCAGGCAGAGGGTTTAAGGTTTAGGGGTATTGGTGCAGGCAGAGTGTGCGTGTTTTGGTGGGTTGAGCGTTTGTGGGTTGAGCTCTAGGCTCAAATCTGGAGTGTTTCAGATGCAGCGCCCCTAAACCCCAAACCATGCAGGCACCAAGATCTTCTCAAAGAAGAAGAAATTTGAGGCATTGCTGTCAGCGAGTATTGTTGATCCCTACGATGCTTGGCAGACAGATCAGGATTTCCTTGAATTAAAGTCTTCGTAATACGGGTCCCTATACTGGGTTCCTATCCTAATACGGTTCTCTCTGATGGGTTCTCCTGTTTTGGAAACAGAACCATCAGCCAAGTCCCAGATGGCCCTCTTCAGACTCTGTGAAGGTAGGCCTCTCATTTGGCTCCATGGAAGAGCACCCAGGACAATGTTGGGTACACCATGGGCGACAATGCCGATTTCCCGAATTTTGACAGCTTCACGGACGCAGGTATGACGGCTGTGATCGGTGAGACCCAGTACACGTCAACGGGCTTTGTGAACAACAATCTCATCACTAACCAGGCAAGTGGAGACCCAATTTATTGTGCCGGCTGCAACTGCGTCATTGCTGGAAAGCCCGTTTGTCTTTTGGTAAGCTCGAACCCACGCACAATTCCAAGCACTTGGGGTTATGTACACTTGGGAGGATGCTGGTGGGCAGAGTGTTCATGAAAGAGCAACGAAATCTCCCAAGACCATATTCCCAAGGTGATAGTAACAAGATTCAAATCCGAAATCTGAATGCATCATACGTACATGGACAGTTTCTAGAAGGGCCACGGCGGTCTGTAAGTTTGCAGACGCTGAAAGGGCGGTGCAGAAGGGGAGGTATATATGAGAGTAGGATTACCCTGAGAATCCACGTCTGCAAATAGTACCTACATTGGACCCTAGAGTCTGTAAATATAGCCTACATTGGGCTATTTGGATTCCTGGAGTTAGGGATGGGACCTGCAGGTAATGGCTCCTATCGCTTGACGTTCACTTCAACCTCCATTGGCACACCCGAAGGAGTCTTTGCAGCCTCTTGACTGCTTTGTAGAACAGAGGGTCCACACTACTAAGGGCACTTTTGAGGCAAGACTGCAGCAGTGCTGTGTACCGTTTCAGGTCTAGGGTCTAGGGCTCAGAAATCATGAGAAGGATAGTGGGGGGAGGTGGTTCAACCTGCAACCAGAAATAGGCAACAGTACGCTTGGCCCATGGCCCTCGAATACAACCAAAGAGGAAGTGGAGCAAAAGGCTTTTCACAGAACAATTGTTTACGGCTTTGCCGATTTGGCCTAGAATCACCACCAAACTGCCCAAAAGCACCAAGTACTTTTTTTTTTCTGTATCTTCTATTTAGGGGTTCAGGGCTCAAGGGTTTAGGGTTGGGACCCCGCTCCAAACCAGCACGGCACTGCAATCCTCCTCCTTGGGATGTCGCTGGGTCTAGGGTTTTGTGATATAAGCTCTAATCAAAACTCCTGAAGGGGGTTCCATATAGGGTTATTAGGGGTGATACTAGGAGTTTAGACTATGGTTCGTATGTTGCTTGGGCAGTATGAGGGACGTTTAACGAGCCATCGGATGTATCCTTTGCCCTCATTACGCGGAGCCCTGTCCTGGTTTGCTGTCAAGGACCCTACATCAAGTTACCATATTATTATGGGTAATTATCATTACAGCAAATGATAGGTGTTTCCTGATTTTAGTAACTTACTTTACGTTCCTTCACACCAAGCCCGTTTCTTCTTGATTGCTGAACTTTTAGGTTTCGGGTTTCAACGGTTGAGGGTTGCGTCCAAGTTCTGACGCACCCTTGCCGCAATTGCTGCATCCGAGCCCCTGCAAACCCCTGGTTCGATCTTGCATCATTCTGCTACGTAATGAGGTTTTAGGGTGTGAGGTTGTATTGGCAAAGGGTCTTTTCAGACTGAATCCCGGCACGTGGATTGCGCTTTACGCCCGAAATAATCTTTGGGACTGGAAGTCTCTGACTGAGCGTTGTTTTCAGTTGTTTTCATTGTTTACATGCGGCTCCAACTCAACTTAGAAGGGCTAGATAGCACCTGAGGAATATAAAATCACGCAACCGCCACTCGGAATTCCTAAGAGCCTGTTGACATTCCCGTCGCAACGGTAGCTCCCACTCTCTAAACCCTTGGCAGACTTGAAACTCGAGCTGCTGAGATAAGCCAGGCAGGCGTCGTCGTAGCTGCTGAAGCAGAAGGTGTTTTTGGAACCATTGCCTTTGTTACCTACGGTGACGGCTCCACCGATGAGTTCCCGGTGCCTGATCAATCTGATGGCGAGGCATCAATGCTCCGAGACCCAGTTGGGCTCGGCTAGGGTTTTGGATTTAGGGTTTAGGACTAGAGGGCATTTAGGGTTGATGCTTTCAGGGTTTCAAGGTTTCTGGATTCAGCGGGACTTGGTTTTTCGCGTCGATGCAAAACAATGATGTGGAGCAAGTTGAGGCTTTCCTGCTTTCTGGGTTTAAGGATTTGGTAGCAGTATAGCCTAGTTCATTCCTAGACATTGTTACAGTAGCAGGGATATTCGGAGTAGTCTGGGGTTTGAGGCTCGTGCACCAAACTCCTTAGAGGTGGCTAGTACAGGGTTTCGGGGCTTCGTTTGTATGGCAGAATGGCGCTAATAGGAAAATGCTGGGGTTCCTACCAAGTTCGTATTCTATCTCCTTCAGCATGGCTGTAGATCGCAGGTGACGGATTCTGTCGTCTTCTGGGCTTGACAGGTATAATTATAAGTAAACGCATACGCGGCTGGGCGTCCAAAAGAATTCGCTCATAACCTCAAACCATCCGGATGCGGACGCAAAGGAAGTTATCATCATACCAGCAAAGCAAGACAGTCTTCCGGCGCCGCGCCGCCCCTAAGATACTCCTTGATCGAGCTATGTTTGGTAGTGTTTCCCGAAATATGGGGACCCAATATAGACCCCATAAAGACCATAATCCTTGTCCTAATTTTGGGACCCCCCCCCCCCCAGGTTCAGCATATTTGAGTGATTCAGCTTTCTTCTCGATGGATGGCCACGGGCTGTTCGGAGTCAGGGAGCCCTATTAGACTTGTACGCAGAAAGGTGAATTTCCCAGCAGAATACACCGATCCCCCGATCCCATGCACCGATACACCGATACACCGA